AATTAAAAAATTAAAAATAAAAAATTTCTATAGGTTTTTCGCAGCTTGCAACACTACTGTAAGGTTAATCAAAATCCATCTCCAACCGTCAAATACAAATGTAAAAACACAAATGACAAACACAAATGACAAACACAAATAACAAACACAAATGTACAGACACATATCTCCACGTTTGCTGGTGTATACAATTACTGTACATGTTTCTGCCCACTTTTTAAAGTTTCTGATACAAGAAAACCAGAAAGACAAAATTCGCTTAGCCGGGACAGCGAGAATGCAACGCCCGTGTTTTTAATTAGAAAGTTCCCACAAAATCAGCGCCCATTCGAAGACCAGAATGTTAGAATCCACGTCCTCAGGGGGTTAAAAACAACGGTGTCACTACACACACACACCCACACCCACACACGTACGCAGCTAATGAAACTTATGAAACTCCTCTCTTGTCAAGAACACTTCGACCCTCCCTCCCAACGCAAGCAAGGAGAAAAACAAAACAAAAATTAACACCCCCCCCCCCAAACACAGGGCCACCTGCTCCCCAAAATAACAAACCACCACTTCAGTGTATCAAATCTGGGCTCTGTGTTACATAACAACAAACATCCCCAAATGGCGAGCGAGCGCTGTTTATTTTGGGGGCATTAAATTCTGGAAGCGTCAATCAGAACCCTGGGGCATTACCCTAAATGGGTTATTTACATTCTCAAAAGGGCCGCAAACTCTCCCCGACTTGGGACAGAGCAGCTGCCACGATTAATTCAGCCACATCAATTATCTCTCACCCCCCCCCTCCCTCCCTTTCTTTTCCTTCCTGCATCCCCCTGCGCCGAATTTGGCGGCTGCAAATGTAGGAGAGAAACGACCTTGACATTAGGGAAGCGTCCGGTACCTTTTGCAGACACAAACAGAGACTCTGGCCAACAGAATGACCTGACAGGAAGCGGGAGTACATCTCTAACAAAAGGACACAAAGAGATAAACATAGAGACAAAGGGATGATTCAATAATAGTTCGAGTTTTGAGAGACAGAAAAAGAAAAGAAGGAGAGTGGGGAGAGAGATGCCAGGGGCTGAAACCAACAGAAGACAACGTGAAGTCATTGTCTACGGCAGGGCAGTACCGACTGCTTCCTGGTACTTGACTATGTGACGGGAGGCGAAGGAGGGGGGAAAAAAAAAATTGGTGACCTTTATGTCAGTG